AAAAAATTTAATAATAATAATAATAATAATTAAAATGACATTATTTTGTCCGTCTTAATTGATTGGTAAAATTTGTGCACTTTCTAGAAATTTCTGCCTTACTCGAAAATTAAAAAAAAAAAAAAAACAATTAATTGTATATATATATATATGAAAAATATTCATTGAAAATTTTATGCGGGGTGGGGGTGGGTTATAATACTATATATTATTATTATCATTATTATAATAAAAATCCTTATGCTTAATAAAATTAACTTAATTTTTTTATTTTGTGCTCTATTTATTTATTTATTTATTTAAATTTTTTATTTGTTGTTGTTGTTTTTAAACTTTATACTTTAAATTTAAGTCACGTGATGATGTTGTTCCTACATATATATATATCATATTTCATTTGTAGCCAGTGATGAAATTTTATATTTAAAAAAAAAACAAATTTGTAATTATATATATATATATATATGATTAATGATTGATAATGATAATTAAATGAAATATTATTATTATTATTGAAAAGGAAAATAATTATATATATATATATTTATATATATATTTAAGAGTGATATGCCGATTTATTTAAATTTACTTAAAAATAAAATTGATTTAAATAATTAATATATATATATTTAAATAAAATAAAATTTAAAAAAAAAAAAAACTTTTAAAATATAACGTTATGGATAATTTTTTTTTCTTTTTATTTAATTTATTTAATTTTCTTTTAAATATAAAACATTTCCATTAGTTTTTTCAACTGTTATTAACGGTTTCTTTTTTTTAAATATATAATAAATATTATTATTATTATTGTTTAAAAAGGGAATTTTTTATTTTAAAAAAAATCGTTAAAAAAACGAAAACAAAAATGGATTCAAGATGGCGTCGATTTCGCAGAAAAGTTTCGGCGGGGGAAAAAATGATGGCGCGCATGTAAGTAATAGTTTTTAAAACTAATTTTATTATTTCGTTATAATAAAATCGTTTGTCGTTAATAAAAAATCGTTTTTTTACGCGTTATTATTATTATTTTTGTTTAAATATGTTTTTTTTTTTGAAATAATAAACGTTAAAAAAAAAAAATGTCGCCAATAATAATAATAAGTTACGTAAATTCCTGACACGTTAACGATCGTGGGAATAGATACAATCCGTGTTGTTTTTAAATATCATAAACGTTTTACATTCGGAATGAATAGGTCGTAATTTAATAAATTATTGTTAATTCATTCTTTGAAAGTATTTTCCAACGGAAAAAAAAGGAAAAGTTTTATTTTATATAATTGTGGTTTATCGGTTATTATTTTTAAATAATTTTTATATTAATTTCGGTCGTTTAATTAAATTATAATAATAATTAAAATTATTATTATTATTAATATTCGTTTATTTTAATTAAATGTTTTTCTTAATGTTTTTCTCATCGTAATAAATTTAAATTTACAAAAAATTAATAAATCATGTTGAAAGTTTTACCCACGAGTGTTAATAAAATATTCGTGTACACTGGAAATATATTAAGTTTAAACGAAATTAAAAAATTAGCTGGACACAATCAAACTGACGAGGTTAGTTAAAAAAAAAATTTTTTTTTGTTTGTTACAATTAATGAAATGATTATCATTATAATTTATGAATGTAAAAATAATTTTCTTTTAAAAAAAAAAAAGTATCATTTAATTGTTTTATGTAATTTATTTAATTTTTTCTTATCGAACAAAATTTATTTATTTCTGATATCGGTTAATAGAAATTGTGTAACTTAAAAATGGATTCCATCATTCGAAATGATTTCGACATGACCAAAAAAAACTTTTACTTTTTACATTTCACTCGATAATGATGTAAAAAATATTTATATGCATTTGTTAATGTTAACTTTGTTTGTTTGTTTGCATGAAGGAATTTTTAACAAAATGATGTAACAACCTGTTTGTGAAGGTCATCATTCTTTTTTTAAACAAGTATTCTCGTATAATATTTTCTTATAATTTATCGGTTTTACTAAAGGGCAGTAAAAAGTCAAATCATAAATCATTATTATTATTAATTTATTTAAATTATTTTTTTTTTTTACAACTAAATTTTTCTTTTTTTTTTTTTTCGAATGATGATCACACACACATCATAATTTTTATGATGACACGGTTTTGTTTATACTAATATTGTTGTGACTAATTAGTCTAGATGAGAATTTATAAAACATGATGATAATGATAATTATGTTGTTCCCTTGATGAAATGTGTTTGTTATTGTTCAGACATAAATAATAAACATTAAATATTTGTTATGTGAGTCGCAAATCGATTGTCGATGACAGTTTTTTCTGTTTTTAGTTGGTTGAAAGTTTAAGGATAACATTATCCGATTGGCAGCCTAAAGATGTTGTCCAGTTACCAGGACTCGACACGACCACTGTTGAGGTAATTTACAATTTTATTTAGCAATCCATTCGAATATTTTAATTCTTAATTGTTTTGATATGAAAATGAATCATTTTTTTTTTTGTTATTATTTAGGTTATGAGAAATGATAAGAAATGTTGTCAGTCTGAAGAAGTTGATAGGGAAAATTTAAAAGTGACAGTTAAAATTTTTGTATCAGCACCGAAAAAGGAAATTTTACAAGAAGCTTTAGACAATGGTAATGGGCAATATAAAAACCGAAAAAATTTTTTATCACGAATGTTAAAATGTGTCAAGGATTCTCTAATGCCACTATCATTAATTTACATAATTGAAAAAGTTTTTTGAAAATAAATAAAAACAAGAGTGGAAAACTTGGTGAAAAAAGGAATTTTGTTTTTTTTTTTTTTTTTTGTTTTTTTAGTATTCACTTCGCTTAACATCAGTAAAATAGATTCATTGGTTCTTGCATGTAAATTAGAACCGTCAGCAGTATTATCTGGTTTACAAAATATTTGGTCAATAATTGAAGAATTGGCTGAACAGAAAAAATTTGAAGATGTTGGAGTGAGCGACATTGATACAGATGTTTTTGTTAATTTGTATAATTGGGCAAAAGTAATTCGGAAAAACAATTTTCCCTTTAGTTTTATTTATAAAATGTGAAAAGTGATTTATTTATTTATTATTATTATTATTTTAGGTCAAGCCGACAATAATACAAATAAATTTAGCCGTTTGTTGCGTTGTGCCTCCGGTTTTACAAGAATTTTGCAAAACAAATAATGTTCAATTGTTAACACACAGCGATCCACTTGGTAATGATTAATTTGTTTTTTTTTTTATTTCGAACGTGGGATAAGAACGACGACGTGGTTTTAGTGTTATGCCTTGAACGCTTTTGACTAATAACGTTCGTTCGTTTCGTTTCAATTACAGAAATTTTACCCAAGCCGGCCTTGTGTCAATTATTCGGAGCAAAAGATGTTGATGACGTCACGTTGAATTGGGCTCTTAGATTTCAGGTTCACGTTAAATGCAGAGGAGTTTTATCAAGTAAAGGTTACCTCGTTTGCGTTAGCAGACCAAAAGAATTTAATAACGTTTAAAAGGGAAACAAAAGGGGGAAGGAGAAGAGAAAGAGAAAAAGAAAAACCCCAAGGAAATTTTATCATTATCATTATCATTATTATTATTATTATTATTATTATTATTATTATTATTATTATTATTATTATTATTATTAATCGTTGTTTTGTTTTTAAAAAAAAAAAAATGTTGATGATGAGATTATAAGAGATTTTGAATTATCGCGTGTGATAACATCCAGGTTTTTTTTAATTATGTGTAAATATTTTTTTATTATATCGAAATGATAAGAGACAAAAAATTATTATTATTATTATTATTATTATTATTATTATTATGAATTATTTTAGATATTTATATTTATACAAACGTTAATTGTTGTTGATATTTATAGATATTTATAGAAAGATTAAAGATGGCGATCAATCAAAGATTAAATAAAAAAAATTTGATCACGTTTAAAAGTTGATATTATAAAAATGATAATGATAATGATAATATTTCTGGTCGGTGGTTTTTTTTGGTTGTTTGTTTTGTTTGTTTGTTTGTTGGTTAGTAACGAATAAAAAAAAAATTTTATTTTTATTTTAAGTACGTCGTCCTTTATGTTTTTTTTTTTTTTTAATCATTATTAAAGTATTTATTATTATTATTATTATTATTATTATTATTATTATTATTATTATTATTATTATTATTATTCAGGGAAGGTTCTGTTAAATCGAAATAGAGGAAATTTTGGGGGAGGAGGTGAGGGGGAAGGATGAAGAGAAGAATTGGAGAGAAGTATGAAAAGGAGGGAAATTTTGGATTTTAATTGTTGGAAAGATTAGTTAAGTTGTTGGATGAGAACGTGGATAATGACGTCGATGACGATGACGTCATTAATGTTCCTCATTGCTCCCACGTTTTTTCCTCGTCCTGGTAATTTTAATTTGAAAATTTGTTGTATCCCTAAAATCTTTTATTTTTTTCTTGATCTTAGTTTCTTAATCGTCGTCATCATCATCATTCTCATCAACATCATTATTATTATTATTATGTAAAAAAGGGAAAACGAGAAGAAAAAAAAGAAAAAGTTCAAACAACAAACACAATAATATTATTTAATAATATAATAATAATAATAATAATAATAATAATAATAATAATAATAATAATGATATATATCTTATTATAATTTTAACTAAAAATTTTAATTATTAATTATTGTTTTATTTTACACTATCGACACTTATTTATTTTTAACCGCAGTAATTTATTATTTATTATTATATTTATTATTATTATTAATGAAAAACACATATTATGATGCATAAACGTGTAAGCAGAAGTAAATAATTTTCAACGTCGCGTCATTTAAATGAAAAAAAAAAAAAAAAAAAACGTTCGAAAATTTTAATTTATATTAATTATTATTATTATTAGAATGTTTATTTGATAACAACCTGCGTTTAAAAATTTGTTTTTTTTGTTTTTTATCTGGTGCCACGTTAAATTTAAAGGAAATGGATTCATTCCATGTGATACATGTCACCCAAAAGTCTTTGAATTGGTATTTCACCGATGGTTTCTTTAAAAAAAAGTTGTTCAACCGTTAATTGTCGTATCGATCGAAGATTTGGTAGAATTAGCAAAAGACGTCCGAATCTTGTCGGTTGACGTGGGTATCTATTTCTTATGTAATCACCGAGTATGCACTGTGCCTGATCTTGAAGCATTTCAACGGGTTGTACATCGCAAAGACCGGCCGTTTCTGACCGTTTTTTTTTTTTTTTTTATACGAAATTATTATTATTATTATTATTATTATTATTATGTTCTTTCGTTTATATTGAAAGTTGAAATTAATTTTTACCTGGTGTGAAAAGGATAACAGCTTTCATGCATCCACATTCGCTAAGGTCTGGAGATAATTGTCTGAACCTTCCAATTAATTCTTGTATCGTTTTAATTTCGTTAGCAGTTATTTCGTCTTGAGGTAGTCGATCTCTTGCTTTTGACGAATTTAATAAAGTCGTTAAATCCCACGGTATCGACCATTGTGCTAAATATAATAAAAAAAGTTCTTTCCAGGATTCCTGGAGAAGCAAAAGCTAAAAATGATAATGGGGGGGAAAGAAAAAAAAATTAAAAGTTTTCGATTAAATTTTCTTCTTTTTGTTTTTTTCGAAAAAATTATTATTATTATTATTATTTCGTACCTGATCGTGCCTTGATAGAGTTTGAAAAGGACCTAAACTTCTCACCCATCTAACAGCAGTAAATAAAAGTCTCGCTGTCGTTTCCTGGAAAGTGAAAAAAAGGGGGTGGGATCAGGTGTGAATTAAAAGAGCAACAAGTCAACAAATGAAAAAATCCGATTGGTCGTTAAAAGTTAATAAAAGTCAACCCTTAATAAAAATGAACCAATCGCATTTGAGAAAGTGTGAAAAATATAAGAAACTTATATCTCCCTCGTTTAAACAAATGTCAAGGTGTTTTTTTTTATAAAAAAAATTTTTTGCTTTTTCTTTCTTACCTGAAGGACTTCCCATGATGGCGATAATGGTTGTAGTGCAAGAGGACTGGATTGCGGAACTCCAACACGTTCGGTCGTGGAAAGTTTTGTGTTCCAAAGCAATTCCTACGAGGAAAATGATTAGAAAAACAATACGGCACACAATCGTGAAAAGGTCGTTGAGATCAACCAACATACCTGACATTTTTCAGCCGTCATGAGTATTTGCAAAAGTCCAGGAGGAGGTGGTTGATGTGCTAAAAACATAGCAGCAGCCGACGGGGGTCCCGACGGTATGGGTGTAATGTTGGGTACGAAATTTTCACTCGCCGGTATCAATTCCTGGGATGTTTTTATCGGACTTTGCAAATAATGCATGTGAGGATTTATCGGCTGCGGGAAAACGATACCCGGTGGTGGCGGTGGTGGTGGTGGTTGTTTAGCAGAAGGTTGTTCGGCAGAATTCGACAGAGGAGGATTCGAATGATGCATTAGTACAGGATGATGATGATGGTGATGGTGATGATGATTGTTTTCTTTCGACGTTATATTATGTTTAGGCTTTCTCGGTCCTCTTTCATGTTGAACGGCTAAAAAGAAAAAGAAAAAAACGAATCGACAACGTTTAAAATGTAAAACATTAAACAAAAAGGAAAAAAGCTTCAAAAGCTTTTTTCTTTTACCATAATAATAATAATAATAATAAAAACTTAAATCTTTCCTTTCCGCTAAGCCGATAATATCGTTTTTCCCGCTTTTCTGTTTACAAGATTATTTCAAAATCCCCATTAAAAGGAAAATGTCTCTCACAAAGAAATTTTATTTTTTTCCCATGGAAAAAAAAAAAAAAAAAAGAAAACCTCTTTTGAAGAAATATCAGTTCAACGGTTTTCTTTTTTTTTTTTCTTCTGGAAAACTTTCCATAAAAAAAAAGGAAAAAAATTTCGTTTTCCTCCCCCATTTTCCCTTTTTTTTTTTTTTTTTTTACTCTTAACTTAACGTTGAATTTATTTGACGCATCATTTAACGTAATTTTTTAAATGTAAGTTGACGTGGTTTTAGAATTTGAGTTCACGTTTCTATCACTCACACCTGTCAAAAAATTACCGTCTTACCGTCTTTATTCATGGCCGCAATGAAACATTTATTAAGTCTACAAGCTCTGCACTGATTTCTGTGAGTTTTGTCGATCGGACACCTTCCTTTAAGATCCCCTTGTGCCTTACACGTGTATACTCTATTCCTGTGTATGCTCCTTTTGAAAAATCCAGAACAACCTTTAAATTTTATTATCATTATTATTATTATCATCATCATTATCATCGTCGGTTTAATGTTTCCGTTTCTTACCGTCGCAACTGTATATTCCGTAATGTTTTCCAGATGATCTATCGCCGCAAACTTTACAAGGGATATCAAGCAAACGATCACCTAAAAAAAATTATAACAATCTAATATACGGTTAATCCGCATCGTGGAATGTTCTAGAATTTAATTATAGGTAAGGAAGTTGTTGCTGTTTCCTTTGACGTTTGATCGGAAATGGCGAGGGAATGTATGCGTGCGTGCGTGCGTGTCAGAAGAAACGGGGAGGTGGATTAATCGCGCGTTATGGAGATGAAAATACACACGTGTTGGATCGCAGGGTGCGTGTGTGCGTGCGTGCATCCGGGTCGGTCGGATTTCTTCCGTTTCCGCTTTTTTTTTTTTAAACTTATTTCTGAACTTGTGGAAAAATCAATCAATCGAACCTGATTAATAATCGATGACGTAATAAAAAAAAAGAAAATTCGCGTGTTTGCGTGTGTGCGGTCGAAGAGGGTTAGGGGGTTGATGTTCGGGGAGGGGAGGGAGGGAGGGTAGGGGGTATTGAAGAGCCGTAAAAACAAATTACAAACGGATTAAGCGGACAATGAAGGCTAAAAAGTTTTTTTTTAAAATCTATTAATATCATCTTTTTAATTCAATATTAAAATTTCCGCATCAATTGTATGGGTAATCGGTAAAGGGATGGACCGACTGGGTGACGGTTAAGCGGGGGTAGAAGGGGTAGAAGCGATGGGGGGGGTAGTAGCAGAAGAAAAGGGCGTTATGATATTTTTTTTCACATATAGTCGTGTTTATTCATTCGTGATTGCGAAAAAAAAAAAAAATTTTTTTTGGGATGGAAAATTTGTCATCACCACCACCCTCACCATTTTCACCCCCGTCATCATCATCATCATCATCATTATTATTATTTTAAAACTGTAAAATTTCATATCACGGAATTAATTTTTTAGTCAATATTTATTAAACAAAAAAATCAAACATGAAAAAGAACAAAAAATCAGTGGGGAAGGAAGAGAAACGAGAGAGGGAGTGGGGGGGGTCGAAAAATGGGGATAAAAAGAGGGGAAGGAAGTGAAAAAAAAATTTGTTTCCCTTTTTGTTATTATTATGATTATTATTATTGTTGTTGTTGTTGTTCCCGTTTCCCCTGTCGTTTTTTCTCGTTACTTTTTTTTTTTTCTTCTTGGCTTTAAAAAGATTTTCTCTTTTTTTTTTATTATCATCATCATCATCATGATAATAATAATAATTTCATTTATTATTATTATTATTGTTTTGTTTCGAATCCTTTTGTTTGCACGAGAATTTATTATTATTGTATTCATTTGCTCTAATGAGTTTAAATAAAAGAATTAAATTTTTTCTAATTATTATTATTATTACACGAATTGAAGATGGCGATGGTGATGGTAATGGCGATGGCGATAGCAATGGTGATGGTGATGGTCATAGTGGTGATGGGGGTGGGGGTGGTGGAGGTCGAAACGAAGATAAAGATGAGAGAGAGAAAAAAAACAAAAAAAGGTTTGCATGTTTACGAAAATCACGAAACGTTTTTTTCCCTTCTTCATTTGTATTACGTCATTAATTATTATTATTATTATTATTATTATTATTATTATTATTATTATTATTATTATTTATTGGATCACGCGGGTGGTAAAATAATAATTTCGCAGAGTTAAATAATATTCTTTTTGGATCGCGGTGTAAAATCCTAAAATAAATACTTGAAGTTGTGAGAGAATAAAATGACGACAGGATTTCTGTCGGACGGTTGACGAGGATAATCGTCATATAAGTCACAAACTATGAAAACGGTCACGAACTTTTGTCACAAAAACCTCTTCAAGTCGAAGCATTATCAAAGGATTATTGTTTTTTATGTTTTTTTTTCACCCTTCCCCTTCTCCCTACCTTCCTCCCTCCCTCCCTCTCCCTTTCTGTCTCTTTCTCTTTCTCTCTCTTCCCCCCTCTCGGAAATGTTCAAATCGAGTGGATGAAAAACGCAAAACAAAGAAAACAACAAACGTACGAACGAACGGACGCAAAAATTTATTTTATATTTAAAATTCAATTTAAAAAAAAAACATATGCGGATCAAAGTCACACGCACGTACTCATACACACGCATTCTCCTGCCACGACAACTTTACAAAAAACGGGAACGGGCTTTTAAAAACTTGTAGTGTTATTTTTTTTTTTTGGTTTTGTTTATTTTTGACCGACATTTTAAAAGTTTTTATTCATTTTTATTGTGTGTGTGTGCGTGTGTAAATCTTCTGCTGCCACGAACTAATCTTTACCACTTATGACGTTGATGTTTTTTTTTTTATTTAACCGAACGGTTTTTTGTTTATGTTAATGTTTACAAAAAAAAAAGAACTTACCTGTTCCCATATCAATTATTTGTAACTCATCCAGAGTTTTTCCGGTTGTTGACCGTCTCCCGTATGATGAAATTTTATAAAAAAATAATCTGCTTCCACTTTAAAAAAAAAAAAAAAACACGATTTTTGTCTTCGTCGTAACCCTAAAATAATTAAAAACTTTTTACTTTACTTTACTTTATGGTATCAACAGGTAGAATTTTTATTAATTAAAAAATAATTTTTTTTTTTTGTATTCTTCTCTTTAGGGAAAAAATTCGGGAAAAAAGAGGGAAGAAAGGGGGAAGGGAAAGGGTTTAATTTAACAACGGCACGTTTCGATTCCGAATTGGGAAAATTGGGAAAAAATTTTTATCCAGTGGAAAATGTTTTCCAGCGGTTTTTTTTATTTTTTAAACAAAAAGTGGAAAATTTTTTTTTACACAAAAGTTTTAAATAATTTTTTTTATTTAATTTTAATTTTCTGGAGAAACGGGGTGTGAAAGAGAAAGAGAGAGAGAAAGAGAGAGATAGAGAGAGAGAGAGAGAGAGAGAGAAAGAGAGAGAGGAAAAGAGATAGATAGAAATGAGAAGAAAAAAAAAGTTTTTTTAAAAAAATTTGAGATTAAAATTTTGTTTCTTTTTTGGAATTTTTTATCGTTTATTAATTTCTATTGTTTTGTTTCTTTTATGGGGGGGGGGAGGGAGTAAGTAAAATATTACAAAAAAAAATTTCGTCTGCTATCAATTTACCTTTTTAATGGAAAAAAAAATTTTTTTTGAATTCCTCCGCGAGTGAATTGATTTAACAAATTGTATTAACGTTTTTTTTTCCTTCGTTAATTTTTATTTTTATGTAAATCGTTATCACTGTTAATATATATATTATTACGTCATCATTTTATTATCAAACTATTCGTTCGTTTAAAAAAAAATTATTATTATTATTCGAAGGGAATTAAACTATTTTTTTTTTTTTACTTTTCACACGAATTGATTTTTTTTTTTGTCATTCACATATTTAAAATCACTTTTTATTATTATTATTATTTTGTTTTATTTTCACTAAATCCATTCGTATGGAAAACATTAATAAAAAAAACGCGTTGGGATGCCAGAAAACAACAACAGCAACAACGACAACCGAATTAAACTAACAAACTTAAATACAATTTGATTTTTTTTTAATAATTAATATTAAACATTATTAAAGTTCAACATGATGATGATGATGATGATAATATTAACACCACGTAGTCAATGTGTAAAAAGGTACGACTAAATTTATATAACAAATGACAAGGAAAAGAGGATGGAAGGTGTCCCTCCTCCTCCTCCTCCTTTCCTTCCTTCCTTTCTCCTCCTCTTTTCGAAAGCTCTGCTCTTCTGACATTTGCCATGTAATATCTCCGCCCATAAAATTACAACTAATTTTTTTTTATCGTAAGAAAATTTTTTTTAACATTGTTTTATCTATTGCATCCTCATTTTATTAAACATAAATTTTAGATTTGTGAGAATTTTAAAATGATTTTAAAACATGTGGATTTACAAAGGAGTGATAAGGTTTTTTTACGTTTTATTAAAAAGCCTGGAAGCTTTCGTGTCGAATTGACAAAAGCTGATTTTAAGAATGTGGTATGTTTTTGACTGGAATCAACGTTTGAATTTTTTTTCTTTTTTTTACAAACGAGTCTATTTATCAAGGTCATCGTACAGGTACGATTTAGGTACGTATAAATCTTTAAATTTACTAAGGGTTTGTATGTAAATCCCACAACAAACCCAAACGCACAAAAATTATAATATTCGAAGAAAATAATAAAGAAAAAAATTATTTATTATTATTATCGTTCATAAAAACAGGTATCCAGGCATGCCAGATTGTTTACGTCATTTACCTTAGTTGTATTATAAATTACGTTTGTGATAAATGATAAGAATTTATTACGAATTAGGGCAAAAAAATTTTTTTTTATTTATTAAACGCGACGAAAAACAAAGCAATCATCATTATTTATATTATTATCATTATTTATATCCATCGTATTATCATAATCATTATTATTATCATCAACGGTAGGTTAAATTTTCCAGTCGAGAAAAACGTAGAAAATTCGAGAAACGTGCTCGAATATTTTACATATAAATTTGTATAAATGGGAGTTAAACGTTTTTTCTACGGAACCGGTATAAGTGTGTGAAAAAGCTCAGGTGTTGGAAATCGTCAAATAAAAAGAGACGGAATTATAATTAAAAACAATGAGAGTTAGACAAAGATGTAAAACGTATTTATTTGGTTCATTGAAAATGATGAGGTTCAATTTGTAATGAAGGACTTTTTCTTAAAGAATTTCGTAAGGTCGGAAAAAGGTTCATCACTAAATAATTTATGATGAAAAGTCATTATTAAAACCTTAGGTATGCGTTCGTGGAAACAAGAAGAGGAAAAACGCGTTCGTAGCGCTATAATTTAATAGTTAAAAACGCACGAACGCGCGTACGTAAACGTTCGCGAAATAAAAATGGAAAAATGAAAAAAAATTTCTATCATCATCATTATCATCATCTGACGATGACGTCGTCGACGACGACGTAACATAAAGAAAATTAAGTAGGCGTGGCTTGTCACCGTGTAGACATACCGCTTTTCCGATTTATGTTTTTTTTCTCTCCCTGCTCCTCCTCCTCCTTCCTCGTCTCTCCTCCTCCTTTTCGTTACCCCACCGCCCTCCATCGTTCTTTTTTTTATTTTCCTTGTGTTTTTCTTTT